TTCGACTCGGCTTCTCAGGGACGATTTTGAATGGGGAACTGAATTTGTTTTCGCGTTTTGTACTTGACTATATTGGCACACGTAGATTACAACTATGAATGCAAGGTGCGGGTTTTTTTGCATGATTACCTTGAACCAACGGTGGTCGGCTCATGCCTCCCAACTAAATTCTGTCGTTATAAGGTAGCTACTTATAAGTAGTAAATTAGAACACTAGTTTTGTTCATGGTAAAAATCTGTATGACAGTAATAATAGTCACGATTACTCTAAATCACTAGCGAATTAAAATCTAGCAGAGGTAGATATTTTTGATAATAGAGGTTTACGCATCGCGGGAGTACACGTATCACTGCAAAAACGTTCCTTTACTGCAGATTCCCTACTACAAAGTATATTGAAATAAGCGCGTAAAGGTGTCCAATGGCAATTGCGGGTTTGTGAAAATGTTGTGGATTGCTTTCCATAATATTTTCTTTTACTTTGCGTATGATATTCGCGAACTAATGTATCGTTCTTGCAGTCAAAGTACCGGAGAACACATCCATCCATCCATCGTTTGTACTCCCATTTCGGAAGTTGTCAGTGGTCTTATATGTACTCTGCACCTCCGATATGCTGCAAGTTGGAATGGTTGGATAACTTCAAGGCCACCAAGTAAAAAGAAAATACCTATATACAACATTTTTACTACAACTGTAAAAACAAAAAGAAATTTATATGATAGAAAATGAAACAGGGACCGCTGCACTTGAACAAAATGTGCTACTCACCGAAATGGGAAGTGGTATACACCGATCACCTCTACCAAACTATCTCCAATCATTGGGCTCATTCCTTGATACCAAGGCCAGCCTCCCATGCAGGCTGTTTACGAATGTTTTCTATTTGGACGGTGTATTACTCATGAATGGTAAAACTATAAATCTGGTAACGCATATGGTGCTTCCTTTTTGGGCAGTGTCATCACTGATGCACACCTCAGAATTTTCATTCCATCAAATGTGATCACATGGTTTTATAGAGGTTCAAATTATCTAAACAGTACCTGGATAAATCGGTGACTGATTCCTAGGGATTTTTGTTTGACTAATTACAATGGGATATTGTAAATCCCATCTTGTTTCGCAGAATCTTCCAGGTGAGCGAAAAGTTTCAGTAGTGAAAATAAGTAAAGCTTCCCGGCACTGAGTAATATAGTTACTCAGAGTGATACACGTAGGACTCATTGCTCAGATGAACGGTATCACGCACATCAGATATCAACTGTCGGGTGTTTTAAACTACCTGACGGGATTCCCGCAACCAGTACTGTATTATAGATTTGATTGGATTCACACACATCATATCATGTATGTGTGCAACGAATCAGTCATGGAGAAACATTGTGGGCAATGAAAATGTAAAAATGAAACTTCTTCGCCTCACAAATAAACTTTCGGATGCCAAAGTTGTGTAAAAGTTCACAAGAAGCGCTACATTTGTCGATAATAAGCAGTACTAAGAAGGGGTTTGTAGGGTTTTTATACCACAATTTTCTCTAGCTCAAAAGATGATGAGCAGATGCAGTCAATTTGTAGGACCGACATTCCGAAAAATCAAAACTCGGGTTTTGAGTGGGGTTATATTATATTTCATGCGTTTTTCATATAATAGTAAAACGCTGAATTGGATTGTTTAATCGCGGCTTACAATATCTAGTAGAACAATGATGGGTAAAACCCAGTCGACTATGAAGACAGGTGGTTTCGTGTGATCTGCACTGCACTGTTTTAGATTACAAATTTAAAGAGGATGTATGTCCTAGATGGTATTTTCCATGTGTTTGATCCATAGTTACTTGTTCTTTGCAGTGTCATCTGGGTATAATCTTAACTCAGGAAAGTTTATTGGGCGTAACTGTTAAGGGAAGGTTGTGGATACGGGTATCCAGACTTGGAAATGCATATTCGACATACTTCGAGAGATTTAGAGGAATTCCTGATCAATTGAAAAATTTCTCAATATAGAAGATATTATTTTATAAGTGAGTGATTTTAAACAGATGTGAAACGACCATTGGTAGAACGATGTCTTCGGCGTACGTGAGTTTAAAGAGCGGATAGATGAAGCGGGACTACTACTCCTGTAAATAGAGATACAATAGTCTGTCTTCTCGCCAGGTACGATACGGATAGACAAAAGTCCTTGACGGTTTTCCGTAGAACTTCATGTACCAAGTGGTCAGTTTCAGAACGTTTCCCACCCTCTCATAATACTAGAGATGAATGCTGAAATGAGCGAGGTGTGGTACACGCAACAAGCCTGTAGAAACAAAACAAAACAAAAGACCGTCTACTCAGCTGTCACTGATGGTCCGATGTGTAGTATTACTGCTGACTACCTGTGAGGTCCCAGGTTCCAACCTCATTTGGTCGGTAGATTCGCACTGTTTTTGAGACCGAACCGGATGGAAACGGTTGTTCAGTACCTCTAGCGTTTCAGCCCACCCTTCGGTTGCTCTCTATATGAAAAAAGTTCACCGTATAATGTCTAATCACTTAGAACTTCATGAATTTCGGCGATCTCTACCTAGCAGACAGGTCATTCTGGAAGTTTACCGTTTTGAATGTTCTAATTTCACGCCGATAACTCTTTTGAATTTCAGAACTTGGAGACTACTTTAGAGGGTTTTATTCGCCCGGAACAGCCGGACATGAACAGACAGTTTGAGTTCATTATTCGACGACTTCGCTCCAGTGAGTCATACTTTATCTGATCATTTTTCGCGTAAATGCAGTAACTACTCATAAGTAATGTGAAATAGACTTCTAAGGCTCCTGTAAATATCTGTGTAAAATTATTTATTATAGTCAGTCTCCTGCTATGTCGCACCCCTGAGAAGTCACATTTCCCAATATCTTTCCACTTTTTCGAAAATCCAAACCAACCATAGGCTTAGTAACGTAGTTTCTGACAATGCGATGTCCCACGCACTCACTCGGTCGTTGACCGATGTTCGGGACGACCCTGAAATGTCGCATTCAGCCAATGGCGTTGCACCTAGTGTGACGCGTTCATGGCACTGTTGACTGATTGGATAATCCTTGCGAAGAATTCACACCGGTGTAAGGGATTGGAGACAGTACCATTTGACGTCAAAATGTGCAAGCGCCTATCGATCAGAGAGAAGCAGAACGTGTTGGAAATACCGAAACAGCCAGGTGAAACTCAGACCTCCGTAACCAAGTCACTTGGAATTTCACTAAAACTGTCTACAATGCTGTATCCCATCGAACGACTTTCGGGGAATTTTTGAACGCCGGAGCATCTGAGGGAAGATGCCACCTGGAAACCAACGAAAAGTTCAAGGCAGTGAATGAGTCAACTTTGGCTTGCTTTACTGCTATGAGGGAAAGCATAGAGAGTTCCCCATGATCGAGAGCACCGTATGTAAAAAGGCAATCCAGCTAGCACAAAGATTGCATCATGATGACTTCAAGGCTTCCAAAAGTTGGTTTCGTTCTCGGTCAGATAGATCTGGTATTCAATCATACAAAGTAAGACACAAGCAACTCTCT